CAGGCTTGAAACTTTCAACCAGAAAGGCAACAAAACACTGTTTTTCAGCCTGGTTTAAAGGATACGTCTGGTGATAGTCTGTGTTTTTCTTCTTGTCAACAAATCCAATGAAAATACTGAAAGTGGCAAGAGATGGACTAACACTTCTGACACTGAAAAGACACATGCTTCTCAAAAATGGGAAAATCAGGTGTGATTAATATGACTTGAGTGAACACTTTACACTAATGTGGCAGTTGTTGTTTGGTCATGTGAAGAAAATGAATTCTATTATAACCACCATTACTTCACATTCCTTCTCTTGTGATTGGTGTGATTCAATATTTCTAGATAAAATATGAATTGGCCGTGAACTGACTGGGCAGCCCTCATGTCCTCCAGGAATTTTATTTTCCTGTTTATTTGTTGTTTGTTTCTCTTAATCTTTTCTGTGTCCTTAAGCACTTTGTTTTTCGTACTCGTTTCAGCATTTGAGCTGTTTATATAATTGCATTAATATTATCTCTTTTGTATCGTTTGACTCACAAAATAAATCGAGACTAAGTATAAAAAAACCCTGTATATTTTACCTCACATTCATCACATCTAAAGCAAACTTCTCTCTTCCTCTTCAACACACAAACACACACAATTTCACTCTGCTGTAAGTTGGTGACATGAGTCCTTGGAAAGTGCAGTATTCAATTTGTAACTATTATGGAGACAAGGACACAGCCCTTTATGTGAGCAGCCACAGAGAGAAAATGGAGGCAGTCACTATAGCAACCGCCAGAAGAGCGCTCAGCAAATCAACAAACAATGCAGTACAAGACTTTTCCAGGGGAGCCATTTAATGGAAAGCCTTGAATCATACAAAGTTGTCCTCTTAAGTTTCTGAGACCTGTCTTGGAGTGTCTGTGGGTGTCTAAGTCCAAGTGTTTGGTAAAAACCTTGTGTTTTTCTCCACACTTGTGTTTCAAGGCCGGCTTGGTTGAATGTGCCAAAGAGCTGTCTTCTTGGGTCACAGCAACCTCAAAATTTAATTTCTGTGATCAGCATTCAGGAAATGATTACTGCTGCGAAAGCACATAAAATAACAATTCTCTCTTATTGAAAACATTTTGTGTATTTACTTGAGCAATTGGCACACCCTTACAGGGAGTTTCAAAGTATTAGCTGTAATGATTAAACAGAGTTACAACAACGTTTTTCCTTCAGTCAATTCAGCTGAGAAGTTGTGAGAAATTCTAGTGGATGTCAGGAGCGAAGTTGAGGCAACTGCATATCAGTCTTTTTAAATTGAAACGTTTTTATGAAACCAACTTACCATGAGCAAACACTGAAAACCTAAACCCTGGTCTTTCCTTCCCACTTTAATGCCTGCATGTGCTCTGCTCTCACTTTCCCATGCCCCTTGTCTGAGTAAATAACGTCTTTGGTACTGACCTTGCTCTAAATTTCAGCACTAGACACAAAGCTGCAGCGTGGCTGATGCTGTCTGACTCTGACTGTCTGGGTGTCAGAGCAATTAATTGAAGAGGTGCAGATAGACCAGTGTATGTGTATGCGTGCCCACACGTACACATGAATAATATTGTTTAAAAACATGTAAACCTATTTGGGATTGTGTGTCCTGATATTTCAGAGCAGGTCCCTGGTAGAAGTGAGTTGAGTTAGAGGAGTCTTGGGTAACTCATATTTGTAATGCTGAAATATGAGGGTTTACTAACTGTAGACAAACACAAACAGGTTACTGTGTTTTGTGGGAAGTTTGTCACATCCTTAAAGTTACGTGATGGGGCTGTGAGAAGGTCTCCCCATGCTCAGCCTTTTTAAACTGGGCTTGGGACCAGCAGGCACTGAGCCAGGCAAAGAGTCTGCTGTATATCATAGAAAGCTAAGAACAAACTGGACCTGTGAAGCTGATACCATGATTGTGGCTACCTGATTTGATGGTATAGCGTCTAGGTAGCAAATTGTTTTTTGCAATTAGTCCAGTATACAGCACTTCTTTTCATGTTAAGGTCAAACATTTAAGGCCAAAAGAAAAGTATTGCTCACAGTTTTAATCTTGTATTTCCCCTTGAGACATTTCTAAACTAACAGCGGCCGCTTGACTGCTTTTGTTGAGTGGTGACAATTTGCTCACAAAGATCTAGGGCTTATGGGAAGCTGTGCTCATTAAGCAGCTAAAAAACAGAACTATTAAATTAACAATATTACACGTGTTTCAAAAACTACTGTCATTATCTACATTTAGACATATGACACGAGCCACATGACGTACTCTGAAGAAGGCTCTGTTTCAAGGCTGGATTTTTAGTTTAGTGTTGTTACAAATGTCAGCAGGATTTTGAATGAGATTTTCTTTTTTCTGGAACCTGGATTTTCCATTTTTATATTAAGTTTTATTATTGGTAGCGGAGTTCGCCTTTGCAATGTGCTAGATTCAGATTGCATGAGGGATGCTCAGAAAATGATGCACCAATGTGTTCCACCTCACTTTTATCTCATTGATAGCAGCCTCACCGTGTCAGAGCTGTATTAAGTTACCGCTAATGCAAACAGAACATTTCCTACTGCTGCATCACATTGAAAGACTTTAACGGTTGAAACACGGGATGGCTTTATTGTGAAACAGCCAGAAGAAATGCAATGAATTTGTCGGTTAGAATGGGTTCTCTTAGCTTTCAGTTTTGCCTGATGTTATTTAATTATAGTGCTAAAATGTTTAAATTTGTTTTCCCATTTAAAACATTGATTTGAAAGGTAGTGCATTTTATTTATTATTTTTTTTACCGTACTTAGAATATATCATTATAGTGAAGGGAGAGAGCTGTCACCCCACCCAGATTTGAACCTGGGTCTACATTGTACCCAAACATGCAACTTGACCACAACACCAAAGAGCCAGACTGGTACAGTGGTCATACTCAACTGTAGTTATGGTACTCACACAGATGTCCCTCACATATTGCCCTTACCGGACTTCTCCCACCACCAGGTCCCCCCACCCACTAGTACTTCACGCATCTGGGCTCCCTCACACACACACACACACACAGAGGATTCACCCCACCTGGATTCTACATTCGAACCCAGGTCTACAGGGTAACAAAACGTGCGACTTAACAGCAACGCCAAAGAGCCAGACTCAATGGTATGGCAGAGTTCATACTCAACTGTAGTGAAGGTACTCCGTCACAATCACATACAGTATATTCAGTATCAGGTGTAATATTTAAACACAAGTCTTCCTGTTTTTTATGGCTTCTCCGTTCATCAAATGTAAATATCCTTGACGCCATGTGCATCATTTTATACACATTTCTCCAAAAATGCTGCCTGACTTATCTATAATCTTTGTACACATCTGGATCTGCACTGTAAAGCTCACTTGGTCTGAACAATACTTGGCTGGACATCATGAGCTTGAGGTCATTGGGGTTAAATGTATGAAAGAAATATTTAAGACATATTTTATTTGCTCTTCTCTGGGAACATGGTGGAGTGGAGGGCTACTTAAGTACATCTTGTACGAATGTGATGAATAAAAACAGAATGAAAAGGAGGATGGGAGAGCAAGACAAAGAGCGACAGAGTACTGTAGCTGTCTTTTCAACTCTGTGCTTTTGCTACAAGACATAATGTAATCTCTCCTTGAGACGGAAGGATTTTTATAACCTGCGCTAGCTGGGCCTTGAGCAGGAGAAGAGACAGGCTGGGTGAAGGCTGTTTATCCCTCTGCATCCTTGATATAAACATGTGAAAAATCTCTGTTTTCTCTCTCGGCCAAATCAATACAAAGACATTCGGCCTCTGAAAAATGTCGTAGCACTACCGCAAAACTTCCTTCATCCTGCCTCCATTCACAACTGTGTCCTTCAGTGTAACAGAGCAGGGGACACTGAGGTCCTGCTTACTGCTATTGCATGTATTTGGCATTGCACTTAATGTCATCCTTTCGCCACACCAAAGAACCAGAACTGCCTGAACATGCCCAACATGTATAGTAAGTCAGGACCTATGCTCAAAACATCTGCATTTTCCTCACATTTCTTCTGCCCCAGGTTAAATTCCTCTGTAATCACCTCTGATTTCCCCTGATTTTTTTTTTTCTCTCTATCTCTGGTAGCAGCCAACCCTAACCTGTGATCCCTCTTAGGAGCAATTAAGATAAACCTCTAATTCATCTGCTTTATCCCAACCTGTCTTTCTCAGTCTCTCATTCACTGACCTCCACTCCTCCCTTCAAACCGCGCCCCCCCTCCCACCCACCTGCTCCCCATCCTCCTTCAGTGACAGAGGCAAGGAGAGCATTGAGTCATGACATCATAATTCACCAGCTCCTGTTTTCACGGTTAAATCAATATCAGTGTGTCCGAGTCAAGGTTGGAGGCTGGCCTTCACAGCTCAGCTCTTCCTACTTCTTTTTCATAGAAAATCATATAAATTGTCCCTAAAATAATTAAGCCTTCAGATCCGTCGCTGGCCTATATTTTTTACCGACTCCTGTCTGATAAACAGCACTGCCAGAGAGTCAAGGTAATGCTGAGAATAGAACTGGGCTCAGATTCCTCTCTCTTCTTTTTTCCTTCTTTCTGTCTCTCTCTCACTCTCTCACAAACTGTTTCATTAACCAGGCCTATTGACAGTTGCTTTTTGTTCCTTTGATGTGGTATAATTCTACAGGGTGAGATGTTGCAGTCACATAGTTTGTTTTTTATTTGAACCATTAACATTTCACATGTGAACAAAAGACATCCTGTGTGAAGAACTTCAGATTATTGTCTTAATTGCTTCCTTGCAAAAATGTCGTTTTTACAGTGGTGTGTCTTGGATTTGTGAGAGCCCTGAAAAGTGTATATTTATAAGTGTGTGTGTGTGTGTGTGTGTGTGTGTGTGTGTGTGAGAGAGAGAGAGAGAGAGAGAGAGAGAGGAGGTGGAGAAAGAGGAGGTGCCTGAGCATGGGTAGGCGGAATATGCAGAGAGTCTGAACAAGCTCTCAAAGCGCGGGGACAGACGGGAGCTAATATAAACGTGCTGCCCTTCACTCGGGGCTATCAGGGGCTAAGAAAACAGCGCTCCCTCTGTCACTGACCTTCGGCGCTTCAAAGAGACAGCGGGACGCGCTGAGCTCCGGCCCATGTAGAGCGGCCATGGCCACGCTGGAGGGCTGCCGCTGTCGGGGTGCCAGCGGCCGAAACAGCAACAGCATCCTCTACAGCATTTTGAAGAGTGACAGCCTTGCAACCACCGAGGAGCAACAACATCCCCAACAACAGCAAACACTGCAACACTTGTCCCACAAGACCTCCTCCACCGCCGCCCCAGCCTCGCTCCAGGAGCTCCGGCAGCAGGCGTGTTCCTGCGGCTCGACGCGGCGCCGCGGTATCCTCCGCTCCCCGCAGGTGACGTGCAAAGCCGCCTCGGCGGTTCTTGTGAAGACACTGCGGTTCGTAAAAAACGTCCCCTGTTTTCGTGAGCTGCCTGAGGACGACCAGCTGATGTTGATCCGGAGCGGCTGGGCGCCTCTGCTTGTGCTGGGACTCGCTCAAGACGGGGTGGACTTTGAGACCACGGAGACCGTGGAGCCGAGCATGCTGCAGCGCATCCTCACGGGCTTACCGGACAGGCAGAGCGAGGTGCTGGCCGGCCAGAGCAGGGGGGCAGCCGGCGTCTCAGTCCTGGATATTGAAGCAATTAAAGCCTTTCTGAAGAAGTGCTGGAGTGTAGATATCAGTACGAAAGAGTATGCATATCTGAAAGGAGCTGTGCTGTTCAACCCAGGTAGGTAGAGTTCTAATAGGCTACCGGTGCCTCAAAGTTATTTTGGTGGCACAGGCTGTCAAAGCATCACTCAGGCCAGGTTGATTATACGCTTATTGTTCAGCTATTGTTGTGTGTGAAGTTTTGTGAATATGGAAATGACTGGCCTAATATTTATAAATAAGAAACATTTTGTGCATTTACCCCAAAGACATGTTTTCTAACAGTCACATGTTCAGTCCATTTTAAATGAGATACGCAACGTGTCGTAATTTACGTATCCTAATTAATAAAGTCAAGTTATTTTGAGGTTAGACGTTGGGATCGTATTTGCATCACGTCTGTGTTGAACCCCTACTGAAATTTTCTTTCCACTCAGCTCACTTTCATCTCTTCTGCTTCCCCCCACCGCCTCTCGTCTCTTTGCCCCAGATGTGGAAGGTTTGCGCTGTCTTCACTACATCCAGTCTCTGCGCCGGGAGGCGCACCAGGCTTTGAACGAGCACGTCAGGCTGATCCACCGTGAGGACACGACCCGGTTCGCCAAACTGCTCATAGCTCTGTCCATGCTGAGGGCAATCAGCCCGCCGGTGGTTGCGCAACTCTTCTTCAGACCCGTTATAGGGACCGTCAGCATCGAGGAGGTGCTCATGGAAATGTTCTACGGGAAATAGGTCACGGTCCACAGTGGACTGAGGTGGATTCAGCAACCAGAAGGACTGAGATGCTCCAGGCTCTTATTGGGTAGGAGGTGAGGGCAGATGAAGAGGAAACTAGGGACTGAGTTTACAACTACTGTATGTGGGAAACCTGCAAGGACTGTGAAATGACCAATGCAGGCAAGAGTGTGTGTGTGAGAGAATGAGAGAAAGAAAGAGAGTGTGTTGAGGGCAACATACAGGCTAGAGGAATAAAACAAAGCAGCTGCTGGAGTTCATAACTTATTTGTTTTTATATAAACTATTTTTCTATAATAAAAAAACTCTCTGAACTGCTTTTGTTTTGTTTTTTTTTTTTTTTTTAATCATTGTTGTGCCTGTGTGTGCTCTGACATTACTTACACAGAAAACCTTTCACTAGGGCAAGAGTGAAATCAGTCAGAATACAATGTAGGAGATAATATGTCTCACTGTGTAAGCAGTGATAATCAGTGTGATGATCTGACGTATGTTAATTTGAAAAGTCACACTGATTCATGTCAACTACTGTTTACAGAAGTTACTGATAAAGGTTTAGTAAGTCAGCTGTATATTAAGATGAGTCTTGGAAGGCTACGGTTCAGTTACTCACTGACCAGTACCGCACTTTGCGTGGAGGGTTTAACAGCAGCACTGTGGCTTCTAAATGCTGGTGAAATGCCATGTTAGACCACCAGAGTGCAACAGTATACCGCATGCAGCAGTTGTGTTTTGCTCATGCATCATCCTCCCCATCCACACACAGACAAAGTGCCTCAGGTAATGTTCTACCTGTCCCTCCAACTCTGGCGATTACAGTGTGGAATTTTGTGGATGCAGAGTAAAATAACCCCTGCAGAAAGTAGAGGGAGGATTCAGGACTGGCTCGCTGGGAAAAAGTCCTCCTGCAGAGGAAAAACATCTGGAAACTGCAAATAAAGGGAAAGACAGATACTGTAAGCTTTTGGCATCATTGTACAGCATTAGGGTCAATTAATAGATCTACGTGAGTGTTTGCTTTGGACAATGGGGCAAAGATTTCCCGCTGTTACAGTACATACGTTTATGACCAAATGAGTCCCTTGACACCAGATTTGCGTTTCCAGCATCCATATTACTTAGTCACTGTTCTAAAGCCATATGGCCTGTACCTGTGCTTAGTCCCTGCGGCTTTGCTTTGGCCCACTATGACAAAATAATTTGGCAAGCAGGTTACTATTTTACATTTAGACAAGCCCCGCTCTGCAAATTTTTGGATTATACCCTAACCCGAATTAAGCAGGGGAAGTGAAAATGGGTTAGAAAACGACGGACAGAGATAGACATACATCTTGTGTGCTTTGAAGAAAAGTAGAGAAAGAATACTCTCAGTCAAACAGCCACTGGACCGTGTAATGATCCTCTTGTTCTTGGACAGACCTTAAAATTGGCCGCACTGCTGTCAGCGGCTGTGGAACAGCAAATGGAAACTGACTGTGTGAGCAGTGAGTAGAGGAGGCTGAGAGTGCAGGGCGGGAGGTGGTAGCTTATTCAAAAGTCACAAAGCAGGAGGGTTTCAGAAAGCCCCAGCTTTATCAAACTGCACTTTGATGAAGAGTTAAAAGGACTGATGAGACTGAAAGTACCACCTGTCACATATCTGTGCCTGATGGAGGTATTTCACAGGTTGAAGTTTAGTTGCCTTATATGGTAGAGCATCTGCGGCTTGGTAGAGAAAATCAAAATTAAAATGAAATATACAAATGGATTTTCCACTAATTTGGGGTTTTTAATTTTTTAATTTAAACAGCAGTCTATGTTCTCTCAAAAAAATGAAAATATGTTTTCAAGAGCAATAGGGTTTTCAAGTGTGCCTTGAAGTAGTAATGACATTGCCTCTGTGTTAGTGCCTATTCAGCACAGAATAGCTAACCGCATGCAATCACAATGGTTTGCCACTGGAATAGAGGAGCTGAAGGCAATAATAAGCTGGGCCACCACAAACTGATAACTCTCACACACACCTCCCAGTGGTCTGATAAGGCATTGCAGAAAAAGACAAAAATGACACACACACACACGCACACACACACACACACACACACACACACACACAGCCACCCTTGCACATATGCCACTGTGGACTTTACTCTGATGATATGCTTATTTCTGTCTATCTCCTCTACATGTTCCCTCTTGATGGGGCCTATTTTCTCTCCAATTAAGTCCTTAATTGCTCTGGGTAACAGAGTCTATTAATCCTGTGTCTGCTAATAAAACCCCAGCTGTCTGGCAGGAGGTTGCCAACGTGCAACAGTCACCATCTCGACACACCACCAGCATGTTGTGTGCGCTTGCATGTGTGCATGCCTCCAAATGTTGGCATTTTTAATAAAATATAAAAAAAACAACCAAAGTAAATTCCAGTGGTTGTGGTTGATTTATTTTTTCATTCACACAGTTAAAACAGTTTTTATTTCTGTGTTTGCATAATGTGAAACCATCTGAGCTTTACGGCTCTTTTTGTGCACGCTGGCACCAACAAACATGTCCACAGTCTTTTACGGCTGCAAACTCAGTCTTTCACTCACTTTCTCCCTTCCTCTGCCTTTAACTCTGTCCCTGTGTTTTCCTTCTGCCCCAGTTTCTCTTTTTCTCAGTTCTCTCCTGGGATTGACAGTCACTAAATCTGCTTTCTGTTTCTTTGTTTACCAGTGTTAAATCACAAACACCCCTAGTAGGTAGTGTGAATCCCCAGGAGATGGCACTGTTTGGCAGCACTCAACCAACACTGTGTTTATGTTTATGTCAAGCAAAAGTCAGGCATCAAATGAGCCTCCTTGGCTTTAAGCCAAAATGTTTCTTATATCAGCACTTTCTTTTAAAGGCTTATCTTCTCTATCTCTATCTGACAGGAGAGACAGACAGGAACATGGTGAGAGAACAAGTTGCATCCCGCATAACAAAAGTCCTCAGCCAGTATCAAACCAAGGAAATGGCAATTGCATGGTAAGTGTTCTAGACTATAAGGCCTCAGAGACCCTTATATCAGCATATTTTAAAATCAACACGACCACCATCATTACATGCTGCTAATTGTTGACCTTTCTCATTTGCACACTGCACTGACATTCTGCTGTAAATGAGAATGTTTGTTAGTGTTGTGTAATGTGTTTCTTGAAAGCAAGAGAATAATTGGAAATAAAGAACACTAACAGTCCAAACATAGCCTGGGCATTTAGCTCCATCCTACTCTCCTTTTGGTACTGTATAGGATATTTCTCCCATGATTCATTGTTTGCAAAGCATTTTTCACAATCTTCCCTTAGAGGTTTGTTTTGGGTTATCTGAAGAGAAATATGCAAAACTATATTCTAGTGGAACAACGTCATGCCACAGAGTCCTCATGTCCAAACCAACAATAAATTTCTACTCTATATATGGCACTTTGCAGCCTAAGCGTACAACCGATTATCAATTACACATATACAATCGCCTTCTATAGCCTCAGTAAAATTAATTGGAAAAGATGACGAAACTCAGACAATTATGTGTTTTTTGACTAAATCATTAATCAAAAATGACCGACAATAAATTCCATGCCTTTGTAAAAGTCTATGGACACCTCGGTGAGTGCAACAAGTATTATTAAGCCACCATCAATTAAACATCCTGACATCTATTTAGAATCAGTAGTAGAATACAGCATCACCAAAGGAGACACCACAGAGATGTATAAATAACATACTCCACAGCGACTGCAGCCAAAATCACACATAGCCTATATATGCAAATGAGAAACTGCAGTTTTTACACATGCAGACACCCACACCTGTTGCTGATGCTCTCATCTGTAGAGAGTTAGAGCAATCAGTGAGTTTTATTATTGTACTCACCTGTCAGACTGACTTTCTGAGAGCTTTGTGTACTGCAAAGTCCTTCTAAGCCTGCTCTAGGTTAAAATTTTCTGCTCATTTATTCTCCCGTCCACACTGGCCTTTCTGTCCCACTGCCCTTCTCAAAGTTTTTAACACTTGAGCTGAAAGACTGGAGTCGCACCTGTTTTCTGGGATTATTGTCACACACAGAAGAAACTTACACAGCTCACAGAAGGTAAAAGTTCTTAAGTGAACACAAAACTCGTGGAGAATCCACTCCATGTGAGCATTTTAGCATGTTTTCTTTAGCCAGACCCAGGTGCACCATTGGAGCAACATCATGGGTGTGTTTGATTTGGGTAAAGTGCTGACTGGATGATGCATTAAATCTGTGATTAATTAAGGTAGATGCAACCTTGTTTAATTACGCCGATGTACAATAATGCTAACCACAACTTCACCCCATAATGACGTGATCCTTAATTTTAGAATATTGTATTGAACGCATTTTTGTACTTTTCACTGCTATTACCAGTCCAGCTACGACTGCAGCTCTGACACTCAGTTAGTGAACGTGCTGCAGCTGCTGATTTGGCTCCTTCAGTATCCTTCCCAGCAGTTTATCAGGACTTTTGTTTACCCTGTAACGGTTTTAAAAAAGTAAACAAAAACCGACTGTGTTACAGTAACATGAGTAAATGTAATTAGTTACTTCCACCCTTTAATCCTCCAATAAATTGTAGGGCTAGTTATTGTTAGTTATTTACAAAAATAATCAGAAAAGCAGGTGGGGATTTTTACGAGTGTCATCATCAGTGTGTGAGGCAGATGCTGTGAATTACTGCCAACAAATGGTCAAAGTTGGACACAAAAGGAAATCAATGTTTTTAATGTGCAGTGAGAAAGTAAGGGCAACTGATAATGATTGTGTTTCTATAAAGATAGACATTTCTTTCCAAGTGAAAATTGTGTTTATATATTTATATAAATATCTATATTATATATAGAATACATATCTATTTGCTATGCATACTCAAAAATCACACCTTCAAATATATTTAAAAAGTCTTTCAAAACACAAATGTATTCTTTTCTTTCCTTAAACATGAACTATCCATATGAACCAAAGTAATTATCAGGATGGGAATAATATTATGTTTTAAAAACCAAAACATTAAAAATGCTTTACTTTTGAATCTAGAAGAGTAGAGGACATATTTTTTCATGTGGGATTCAAAAGCCACCTCTTGACAAACCAGGAACCACATTGCAAGTGTACAAAACCAGCATAACACTTATACACAAATCCCCTTTCTATGGTAGATGAAATGCAAATAAGTATGACTTCTCAAGCAAACTTTTTTCAGTTATAAAAATAGAATTCTTTTTAAAATAATCTACAGATTTATTTTTAAGGTGAGGCATTTCACTATCACTCTAAAACAGCAAGGCTGTTTGTTTCAATAGAAAATATGAAGCTTTAGAGAGAGATCTGCCAGTCTATCGGTCTATCTGATTGGAGAGGACTAGCACGGCCCCCCAACTGCTCCTCCTTCTCGGTCCCACAGGACGGTACTTTTTTGCCAGTTCCTCCTTCTTTTTGCATATTCTATGATTTTTTTAAAAGAGAGTTTACTTTTAAACTAGATACACCTTTTACAGGTAAACAAAGAGAAGTTTCAGCTCCTTGAAGCTCCTGAAATGTCCAGGCAATTGCAAAAATGTAAAAAAATGTTTTCTTAAACTACACAAGGATTTAAAAACAAACAAACAAACAAACAAAAAACACAACAGCGCAGGTATATGACATACTGGCTTTCCAAACAAGCATATTGAAATTAGAATAAAAAACAAACAAAAAAGAAAAACCAATAAAAAATATACAACTCTGTATAACAAGTTAAAGCAAAGTCCTACAGTAGAGAAGGCAACAAACATTTTAAATTGAATAAAACAAATAAGGAAAAAACAGGAAAACACTGATGCTACAAATAAATTGAAATATATGTACAAGACCCTGTTTTCCTTTTGTTTGTATGTATGGACATTTGTGTGTGTATGTGTCTGCAGGGGTGTGCACAATTGCCATAGTGTGTAGGTCCTTTAATGTGGAGTTCTTGCGAGTTCGTATCTCACTAGTTGGTAAAACAGTGTCTTTATTATATATCCTTGAGTTCCACATAGAAAACATCCTCAGAGGCGGTGTCCACTTGAAAAAAACAAGGGAAACTGTGTCCAAATACCAGTTGGAACCAAATGGATCCAAAACACTTATCCACCATAATCACGACCATAAACTGTGTTTCTAAGAGCAACCAGACTGAGCCTGCCATGTCTGACCCTGACTGTTCATCATTACCAGATGACGCTGGAAATGCTGGTTTCTCTTGGCAGCAGAGGGAGCATGGCATTGTTAGCATGTGCCTCCTCCAGGCTGTGCTCTCGGCTCTTCCCAGGAGGCCTCTGTCCGTTCAGCAGTGTAAGTGGGATGTTGCAGTAGGTGTGCTGGTTCCCCAGAGAGGAGAGAGGTGGTAGGGTCCCTCCAGGGGGTATGTCATACTCGTAGCTGCGGTAGTAGTGTTTCTGCCTCATGGTGGTGTGGTAGGTGTTGTGGAACGTGGAGCGCAGCTCTGGGTGGGCGGTGGCCATGGCAGTGGAGGTGGCTGCTGCCATGGAAATGGCAGAGACGGTCTGCAGCTCTCCAAAGGGGCCCTGCTCGCTGACGTCCAGCGCAGGCTCGTGAGTGAGCATGGGCTCTGTACGCCTGAACGGCATCTCGTACTGCAGCTGCTTCCAGAACTTGGAGTTGAGCTTGTTGCTCTTGGGGCCGCGCCACTTGATGACAGTAAGGGTTTTAATGGTATGCTTGAGAGCCTCTACCTCCTGGTAGTTCATGATGCCGCGCAACTCGGCACACTCAATCAGGATGACTTTGATCTCACCAGTCACCAGCATGTTGCGCAACCGCGTCTCCAGTTCAAAGATGCTCCAGCCTCGCCGCACGACATAGTTGGGTGTCATAACTATAATGAGGCGTTTGCTCTGGTCCACGCAACGCGCCACATCCTCTATGTAGGCTTCAGGAAACAAGAGGTAAAGAAAGGAAAGAACAAACATGCATAAGACATAAGAATGGCAGAATTTTTGAATAATCTACATTCAGTTTGTTTTGAGCTAAAGATATGATTTAATGATGAGGACAAAACCACATAACACTTAACAATGATGGATGAACATACTGACACAAAACACAAGACAATGACAGGTGGCTATTTTGCTGTCCACCTCCAGTATTTAGTATAATATCACTCATTTAGTCTGCAGTTAATTGTGTGTAGAGAAAGACATACTGACTGTATATACGTGTGTAGATAAATATCTAAAAGCTGTGCTTGTTCAGTTGAAAATGTTTATTTTGTTCTTTTGCAGTAAGTATTATTCTGTGTATTGTAATCAATACTCTGGAGGGGAGTCCCACAGACTAAGCTAAGCACTAAATAGCTGTAGATAAGGGGGGGTGGGGGGGGCAGTGATTGATAAAGCTGCACAGTCTATAGGATTAGGCTGAGTTGCTGACTATTGAACTGTGAACAGTGCCATTCTAAGCGTCTCTTTGAAACTTCCTAGGAGCAGGTACATGACAGCAGCTGATACAAGAGGAAAAGACTGAGGGCGAGTACCTCCAAAGAGTCGTGTGTCATCCTGGTAATGCTCATTGGTGAGACCTAAACATAAACATTTTAACATTCAGGTCACAGGAAGAACACAGTACAGACACAGAAACATGCTCAACACAGTTGTAAAAGTGGCCGCATCTTCTCTCACTCATCTTTTTATTTCAGATATGATTAATCACATACCATGTTTCCCTGATTGGACATTCATCTACAATGATTTGCCTGGCACTGACGCTAGCGGCAATTTTCTTTTGATTAAAGGAAAGAGGCAGCTCAGTCAGCAGGGCCCAGAGCCTTCACACATTTCCCACTGATGTTTAATTCTGTGTGGACCAACTAGGACGTGTTTGCGTTTTATCTGTTCCACATGAAGCCTACAGTACAAACACACAGCATCACTACTAACTAGAGCACACTGTGTACCACTGGCACATACGGACTACTAAGCAGAGTTAGCACGCATGAGAATATGTTCAGACAGAATTTTCACGGATTTATTAATACATGGATGAAAACCAGGAAGGATGAAAAATTTGTTCAATATATCAGCTGCTGGTACAAACTGTACACTGAATTCCCATATCTGTTGTACATAATATGAGAAGAGCCAGCATGAAATACTATGATCTTTTATCCAGAGCGAGAGTATACAAGAAAAAAGATTCTTGTTGACTGAATATTGTATTTTCCTTTGCCCTTTATTTGGAAATTTGAAATAATTATCCACTCATCACTTGCTTGAATCGGCCCAAACAACACAAAACAGTGAAACACAAGACAGTGACAGTGAAAAGCAAAACTGAAGACAAACTACACACAACAAACACTTAAAAATAATGAAGTTAACTAGTTAACTAGTTAACATAGGTTTGGGAGCAGGGCCACGCCTCAACCACACCTCTAATCTACTGTCAAGCCTACTTATACCTGATTAACCCATCCTCCCCTGCTGGTCTTAGTTTTCTTGATGACAGACCGTGCTTCGCACTTATTTGCAGAATTGTGTAATTCCCAGACAAAGGTCGATCTCGTTCTCCAGCCATCACGCAGTTCATATGCAGACGCACATGAATATCTACCCCACACCAGTTCATTCAGCATCGCTGATTGATTTTCCACTTCTTGTTCTCTCGGCACCAGAATCGGACATTCATTCCAGTCCGTTTTCAGCCACAACATTCTATCTCTAAACACTATCTAAATACTATCTCCACAGTTGGAAAACATTCTGAATGCCTAGCAAGAAGCCATCCTTAACAACCTCGCCCTAGCCACTCTCTCGGCCTCGTCTAACAGGATGGAATTGTTTCCAGGCATATTATACCTTATAACAGTTGCCCTTTCCCTCTCTAGGCATCATCTGCATCCACAATTGTATCACCCACAGTCATTCCATTCTGCAAATGCGCACCTCTGCCATCCAGGTTACTGCTTATCAGCCTTTTCAACAAACTAGTTAGTGGCAGCCATTGTCCCTATACCTCCCATTCTCGCGTTTCCATGCCAAAAAAAAGCTTGTGAAAACCGGAACCTGCTGTCACAGAAAAATGCTGGTAACTCACTTCTGACCTTCTCTGCCTCTGCATCCATTCTCTTCATTCAGGCTACTCATCCCCCATGGTGGACCTACTGTAACTCTAGAATCCATGCTCTTGCAGGCCATCTTTGACTCCTTGCAGTGCTCTGAATTTATACCTCTGGTTCTCTCATATTCACTCTCCCAAGAAGTAAAATCTGGGAGCTTCTACATTATCCGTCTAGACTCCTATCTCAGCCTCCATGAGTTGCTGACCAAATACATCTGCTCAAGGTATGTCACCAAGACCTCACCTCAAGACCCACTCTTTCTCATCCAAACAGGGATGATGGCCTCTGGAGTCTGGCTTCACAGCCACTGTCACTGAGTCCTCCGGATATCTTGCATATCTTCAGAACACTGTTCCAGTCATTCTTTCCACATTGGTGCAGCTTCCACGGCAGCCAGACTGAGCATTTCAGATCAAACCATTCAAGTCCTCAGTCGCTGGTCATTTCAGGCATATGGCTCATACATTCACAACAATCATAATGTCTGTTAAGCGCACCTCAGCTAAATTTAAATCTGTTGACTTTTTTGGGGGCTCGCAATCGACTCAGGTGACTCAACAACTGAGATGGATCCCAACACTTACCTAAAAGGACAACTTCCTCCTCCATGTTCATCTTCTTCCTCACCTCCATTCATTTATTCTCAACACAAGTACGTCCTTGTTTCATTAAGCCTTTAAACTCACATTGTTGTGGCGTGGTCCTTGCTAGTGACTGACGTGTAACAAATGTGCCAAACATTGCAACAACTACAGTATATGAGTGACTGTAAATGCCCTCACATTCCAAAAATTTATTACGTGGACATACGTGTGCAAGCATGTATGACACAGACAGTCACAGAGCTTACTTCCTGTTGGAATGAGGTCTCGATCTGGGATGAAGAGTTTGTAGCCATAATGTTTCTCCAGGACATCAGGGAGGATCTCCAGGGCAAAGCGTTCCTCTTCCCTGGTCTCCTGACTCCACTGGTCAGGGTCCACTTTGGTGTAGGACAGGTACGCATCGTAGTCTTTGTTTTCTGAAAAAGAGAGAGAAGCAACAGGGAGTAGCTCATGAAAAAGGTGACATTTAGCACAGAAAGCACGTTGTCCCTAAACTCCTCTTGGCACAATCAAAAACTTGTATACACATGCATGTGAACACCTGAACATTACACCCATATTTGATTAAGAAGATCTCATTCCAACAGCATGCAGGCATTACAGCATTTCGCAATTACTTTGGCTCAACTTTCTCAGCTGTTTGACGTATAAAACCCTAATCATAAAATTATATTCTCCAGATTTTGGGTGCAAAATCTCATATACAAAGCACAAAAAATGAAAATGTCAATCAAATTAGGTAATACATCACACATTTCGTTTATCAAAGCAACATTGTAATACATTCATTTTGTATATATTTCATTACTATATTTTAATCACTAGTATGTAATTGTCATTTCCTCAAAGATTATACAAGCTATAAGCAAAAAAAAAATCAGAAGTCAGCACTTCAGTGTAGAATAAGAATGACTTTTCATCATCACCGTCATTGGTTTTTATTGAATAGGCTGCATTACTGTGAATATAGTGTAGTCTGACTTTACGCTACAGTAAAAAAAAAGATTGTTATTGTACTTGACTGCATCAGTTTACTTTTCTGTATCGACTACAAAGTTAATTTTTATTCAAAACACAGCACCATTGATATTTCAATCACTTCTGTAAAATGCTGCCAGAACAGTCTCTACGCCTCTGTGAGATTTGCTCCCATTCAGCCTCAAGAGTGGCATTAGTGAAGTCAGTCAGTCATGTTGGGTGTTAAGGCCTGGCTTATACATTCCAGTTCATCAAGGTGTTGGATGGGATTGAGGCTGGCCACGTTCTTCCACACCCATATCAGAAAACCATCTTGGACATGTGTGTCCAAATACCTTTTGCCAAATAGTGTATATGAGAAATTAATTTGGGTAGATATAAAAATACCCAAATCAAGACTCAAGCAAAACCCTCTTCCACACCTCGAAATGATTTCCCAGAAGACAGTTGGAAGAACTGAAAAGACAGAAAATAGACGATGGGAAAAAAGCAGTACTGGTGACATGTTCAGTAAGTCCTATTCATTATACTCTGTAGAAGAGTGCGGGTAAGCCAAAAAGGAAAGAGGGGCATTTTCACAAACGCTTTGAGGAGCACATGCAGCTTTGAAACTCACTGGAAAGGCCAGGGCTGCACTCGATAGGATCCAAACATCAAACAACGCTTTCAAATTAGCAACCAACCATGCAAATTAACCACCTAGCAAACTTGAAATTCTTGTATTGGCGGTCCCTGACGGTATGACTTAATCATGTGGAAGTTTGAGTCAACAAAACAGTGTGTAATAGATAATTCATGCTACTGTAGAAACAATCCAATGATTAAAAAATTAGTTCAGTCTTTCCAGAATTTTTAAAAAGAGAGCAGTCAAAATACAAAGCAAAATGGGAGGATACTGGGACACTAACAGATGAACCCTTAACTGAAGCAAAAGTTAACTATGTTTTGTAGAGAAAACAAAAAGTTGCTCTTCAATTTCAGGCTGTTTACGCCTCCTATTTGTCGCTTGGGGAAGGAGCTTCGGGCCTGCCCAGTCCCCATGTGCCGCTATCTGGCCTTCAACAGAGGAGGGTGGGCATCATTCCATGATATATTGAGACAGATCTCTTTTTAAATGGGCAACAAATTGAAAATCTGTCTCCTCACTTCCCTATGCAGCCATTGCAGCAGTGTACACACACAATCACGTGCACCTCTACACCAACAGTTGAGAGAGAGAGAGAGAGAGAGAGAGAGAGAGAGAGAGAAAGAGAGAGGAAATGGGCTGCTGTCTCTGAGATAGAACTGGAGAAGATATTTGTATGTACCAGGGATTCTGTTATGGATAGAGGCTCTGACAGAACACACACACACACACACACACACACACACACACACCACACACACACACACACACACACACACACACACACACACATAAACCTTACGCACATTGGTAAACAAACTGAACATATTCACATCCATGAGAACAAACCCACACAGGCACATAAACAGCCATCTATGCTCGCCTGACATTGAATTTTGGATCAACAAGGCCCGGTGAAAAAAAGTGAGAACAAGATGGAGGTTAAAGGGCTTCAGGCTGAAACAGAGAGAGTATTTCTTTGTGATGCTTTGTGCTGTCTTTACCTCCATCCACATCTTCGCTGCCAAAGTGCCTCCTATAGAAAAGCATCAGCTCTATCTTGTAGCATTTATAAAGGGAGATGAGGAAGATGAGTAGCAGCAGGATGGCTCCTAGTCCTCCTGCCAGCTCCACGGTGTACATGAGCTCTGCTGAGGACACACAGACCAGAAATATATTTTAAAGTGCTGAGATGATCATGGATTTAACTACATGTATACATATTGTGAATACACAGTGTTACTGACTGCAGCATGTTGGACTAATATTTTTTTTGTCATCGTTTCCCTGTGTAAACTCAAAGGATGGGCACTTATAGGACACATTTACATTTGCTAGAAGTCTTGACAATCATTATTATTTTCAGAGCTTAGCTCATAGCAAAGCAGCATCAATCTTCAGGGGAAAGGAACATGGGGCTCATAACGACTTATGAAAAATGAGAGGGCACAGAAGGGAGACACATGAAAAAAGAGAAGATGATGAGAAATTTGGTTCATTTCTTTGGAGCAGTGCAGCAGTGACCCAGCTCTGCACTTTGGCTATCGTCCACAGTGGGACAGTGGGACACAATGGGACAACCTGGACATGGATGGAGGCATTTTCAAAACAAGGGGCTTGAGTTTAGTCATCTTACCTACTCCCCTCTCCATCATACCTCTTCTCCCCCTCTTCCCCATCTCTCCCTCTGTCCCTCCATTCATTTCCCTTCTCTATTATCTCCTCTCCGTCTCCCCAGAGACCTAGCTTGGGGAAGGATGAGTTATGTTGTCTAAGCAGAAAGAAGCATTTACCTGGTTGGCTCAGCTAGAACAGGTTCACCTTATTTCTCATTATGGGATGAAATACCGCACAGGTGCCATGGCAACCACAATGCACCCTCTATAATATCACATATTATGTATACTGCAAAGGTAAATATCTTTACAAGTCTTGAAAGCATCACTATAAAGTTATAAACTATTTCTTTAATCAAAACATGTTCAAATTGCACCGGAGACATTACATTTATTCATTTAGGTGACGCTTTTATCCAAAGCGACTTACAATTGCTATTTATGTCAGAGGTCGCACACCTCTGGAGCAACTAGGGGTTAAGGGTCTTGCTCAGGGACACAATGGTGGATGCAAAAATGGAGCTACAACTAGCTTAGCAATGTGACTGGAAACAGGGGGAAACAGCTGACTGGTCCAGGGATAACATTTCTACCAACCAGCACCTCTAAAGCTCACAAATGTACATGTGATATTTCGCTTATTTAACAAAAGTGTAAAAATGTGTTTTATGTGGGGTTACCTGCTGGCTTGATCAGACACAATGCCTCAGTTCCTGGAGTCTTAGCTGGTTGCCTGTCAGTCGAGACATTATTCTAAGCTAACTTCCTGCTGGCAATAGCTTCATTTTCGCAGTACAGACATGAGAGTGGTATTGAATATAGGTATTTCCCAAAATGCTGAATTAGTGCTGTAATGTGTAAAGACAGATTGTATCAGTCAGCACACGTTTCTTTCATGAACAACAACAAATACTATCTCAGAAAGACAGCACTTTTGTTTTGGCTCTGTAATATACAATTTTTGTAACTAATTAACAGCAATCATCCTCACTCTCTAAGTTGTTTATGTTTCACTGGTCACTTCTTCCCATCTGCCTTTCCTCTTTCTATTTCCTTAGGCAGGCTGACTTGAGACAATCACAGACCTGCTGTAGGGCTTATGCATTCTGGGAGGGGAAACATCAGAACAATGTGGGAGACATAGATAGAACTTCACTCGAAGTATTTCTTAGCATCCCTCTCGCCGGAAATGCTGCTTGACAGAGAGAGTTAAATGAATGCGTCTAAAGTCTGCAAAGACCTCTAAAATGGAAGTGGGCTGTCTACAAAAGATGGTCACAAAGACAGAGATTAAAGCGGGGAGACAGACAGATAACGACTTAAAATGTAATTGTATGCTAAACTTATTGGCCTGTTGGGAAAAGCTGAACCAATTTGCTGTTTAAACAGCCATCAAATTACCTCTCTTTGCAGGGTGACAACCAGTGCATGAAAAGAGCTTCAGAAAAGTCATGCTAGAGAGTCAAAATAGCTACACAGCTGCTGGAGCACATGTAGAAAGGAACGACACGGCCAAATGGAGATTGTTAACACAAGCATGGATTGAAAAAGAAAAACAAGGAAGGACAAGAAAGGAAAAACAAAAGATGTTAAAAAGAGTGCTGTGAGGTCTCTGGGGGCATGAAGGGAGATATATGAAGTCGTCTTTATCCATTTAAAAGAATATTCCAATATCTGAAGTGATATTAAAGAAACAGATGTGTTTATGTTGTGTACACCTGACTGCTTTAAACTTACAAAATCTAATTTTGTGGCCACTTGGGGGCAAGCTGTAAACACAACATTAATATATAGTACTAAGCTGATATTGTAAAGTTGATAGCAGTTGCCTATTTACAGTGATAGAACTCTTTGGATTTTGCCACAACAAGTGACCCGTTTCACATCACAGTCTTTTAATCCATTATTACTATGAAATATTGATTAGAGGAACTGTAACCCTTTAAACCTCAATGAAGCAGCAAATCCTTTGCAGTTTTATTTCAAATTTTAGTGGAGATCCTAGAGTTCCCAAAGATGCCAAATATGTCAGGTTGAAGTTTATGGAAATGTGTATAAAATGAGGCACAAGATGTCTAGAATATTTCTATTTGATGAAATGGTGCAGCCATGCTTTGAATATTTCATTCATCATGCGGCTTTAATGAAGATTTGGAAAATGCCGATACAGAATATATAACATAGCGTCAGAGAGTGAGGAAAAAGATTATTTTTCCAGCCTTAAAGCCACTTACTGGGAAATAAAATTCAAAAACTAGATGTTAAGGGGTTAATACTCCTCAAGGTTGCAGTGGGAAATGTCAAAGAGTCTTTACCCTGCCTGAGGAGCTGGATGGTAGCTTGGCGACGGCCGTTACCATTTTCCACATAACAGGAATAATTTCCCAGGTCATCCTCCTCCAAGGAGTCAATAGTCAAGGAAATGGCCACTTCCTGCTCACCAAGATGCTCCTTGACAAGCCTGCAAGACAAAAAAATAAACAAATAATTCTGCGCAATGCCTCTCTGCAGCACCAGTTTTGGAAACAACAGATGGGAAGTAGCTTTCCCTGTTTAAACAAGTTCCTCAATCAATGTATAAGACCATTTAATAAGTTAGTGCAAGTAAATGTAATGGCAAGTAGCATGTATTTTATGTGACGGGGCTTCAAGGGTCATGATACAGAGTGTAGCAACAACAGAAGATATTATGTTACAATTCACAAGGGTCAAACCATAAAATGCGAGTGAGCAGCGTGTTTTCTGTACAATTGCACCTCCCCGAAGCCCCCTTTGTGTTACTGTAAGTACTTCATGGTATGTTAATTTCTTTCTCAGCACTCAAAACATATGAGAAATTAAAATCAATAAGGGCTCTTCCTTGGAGCATGCAGGGGGGTGGAATCAAATAATGACGATCAGAAGAAAATCTTTTTATAGCGGCTACCATGGTAACGGAGAGAAGGAGAGAATGTAATATTCCACAAAGTAAATGAGTGTCCCCCGCTGGGCTGGTTGAGTCTGATGGAAGTGAGAATAGGGACATAATGCTCCCTCATACCTAAGACACACTACTTACCCCACTTTTACAGCACTTTCAGCACAAATCACACTTTGGAGGAAACAAAGTGCAAATGAGAAAGAGTTCTCTGCCTGTGTGTATGAGAGTGTGTGTGTGTACCGGCATGTATCATCTGTGTAAATAACGGCTATGTGTTGAGAAGGAGGAGTGGGAGAAGGAAAAGAGGAGAGTGTGTGTGTGTGAGTGTGTTTGAGTATGTAGGGGGATAATGACTCTCAAGCATCTCTCTTCTCTCTTGCCTTCAAGCCGATAAACTGCACATGAGGACAGCTTGTTGGGAAGATTTGGCCGTAATTGAAAGTGTATCATGGGCTTCTTCGTGGAGAGGCAGAGGCAGCGCTGATGATATTTGTAGTTTCAGCTGAGTTTGTTGTGCAATGGGGTGGGGCGCTGGGAGAAGGAGGCACGGGAATAATTCATGTCTCTCCAGGGAGTGGTGGGTACTTTGAAGCCTCTGGTTTCACATTATCACACTATATGAGCCAACGCAGCTCATTGCCATACAGCCTGATGGATAAAGCCTGCCGCAGTTCAACCTGAACCCTCAAATAGAGTTGATGAGGACAAGGTCCAGGTGAAGCACAGAGATACATATGAATGAGAGCTCATAACAAACACACACAAACAGCTGGGATGAATTTCAACTATACCGAACTGTTTACAGCTACAGTACATCTACTGCATGATGTTCCTACACTGGTGAATCAGATTTCATGAACATGTTCTCGAAACTATGGCTGCTGCAGGCACCTGTCCCTTCCTCATTAGCAAAACCGCTGTGTTTGCTCATTTAGTGATCTATTTCCAACGTATTCATGCCTTTTATGCATTCAACTGAACGCACACCTGCAAAACAACAACTGAATCGGGTCAATAACATATCGATCACCTTCTTTATTATGCTGAGCCAGATTTGTTTGGCTAATTTATTAATCTCTGCATGCTATGCTAATGCTAATGTCCAGTCATCCATGCTATGATAACAACAATAGCCCTGTCCCAGGCAAAATGAGAATTTATGGGCTTGGGTTACCATAGAAATTAACTCCTACAAATCAATAGGCTCAGAGTTGGGTAAATAAGTGCCTGCAGAAACTCTGAGCCCAAGGTATGAGTTCTTGTTTCTGAGCTCAAGTTTGGCTGCTGATGCATTAGTAATAAAACTAAAAGTGTGTGGGTGCTGGCCTGAAGAAGAGAGGTAACCCTTAGAAGCATGCCTACTGTATCATCTAAAACGGAGACAGTTTGGCTGCAGGGTAAGCACTGATTTGTTCATGTTTAGTTTCTCCTATTCCCGTCGTTGCCCGTTCCATATCTCTGGCTGACTTTATAGGAAGTGAAACCAAGGCAATGGCTGGATGTGGAAAAAAACCCCTGTTTGGTAGCATCATCAGCAACAGAGAGAGAACGATCAAATACATTATTGATCCTCTGAATGAAATATCGGTATGAATTATTGACAACATAACCCCTTAGCCAGTGAGTGGGGGAATCCTGTTGTCAGGGAGTAATGGAGGAAGAGAGAGACAGAAAAAGAAAGGCAGGAGAGCAGCGTTGGTGGTTAAAATGGGGTTTGTTTCTGTTGCAAGTTCATATCAGTGCACAAGAAAACTCACTACCACAGATGTGTCTCCCTAAACTATCCTTCCAAGTGACTTCTACCATATTTCTTACTCTTTCCACTTCTTCCCTGTCTGCTCTATCCCTCCTTCTTCCTCTCTTCTCCTCCTCCCTGTGGCCCATCTGCATGCTGCTATAGGTGGGTGCAGCGAGGGAGATAGCGATAGTGGCGGCGTGTGAAAAATGGTGGTTGTTAACCATCTGACAGGGCTGTCTCCCCAGAGCTGCAGCCTCTCCAAACAGCCCTAATGGGAAACATGCACATGGACCAGGGAATGGACTTGTTTAAATGTGTTACATCACAAGGAGGGAGAGACATGGAAATGGGCTTGTTTGAAATGTCTTAGAGCCCTGAAAGTAAGGCTTGTTGGGCACAGTTTACAATGTTACACTGAAAGGAGAAAGAAAGAGAGGGCAAGTTACATAAACTGCTTTTTTAAAAAGATGTGTTTAACGGTTAGCACATTCTTAAATGGAGGCAGAGACCTACTTTCTAATACTCTCCAAAAAACTATAACATTAAAGTGAATTCTTCCCAAATTTCTCGTTGAAACTCTAGACTTCTTTTAAGAGAAGAAACTAACTTAAACCCTGCAGTACTTACGGTAAGTTTAAGTTTAAGTTACATGAATTACCCATTTAAAATACCATTTATTACAATATTACTACATATACAATTTTTTCTTTCTTGTTTAAGTACCTTGTATTTTTTTTTATCAAAACATCATGCCAATTAAGTAATATAATAAGTAAAATAATTAGACCATCAGCCATGACAGATGAAAGCCAAGAACGTAAAGGACAGTACTGTACCTTACATAACAACTGCAACGGCTACCATTTTAAGCTAATTTCAGTATGAAAATATTTACACTTGAAACTTGCTTGTGTTAGATAATCATCATTTTTGCCAGATCAGGTAATGCAGCTGCTCACAAGGACTGGTTTGAAAACCCTTTTTGTTGTTGCACTCAGGGATGCGTCAACATTCCTGACTTGAGACTTGATCAAACTTTTTAATGCAAGAAACAACGTAAACACAGCAAAAACAGCATAGCTCTCTTTTCTCACTGTCCAGGTTTGCTGCTTTTTTTCTTGTGGACTTTTCGACAGCTGGTAAATGCAATGAAGCTTGGGACAACGAATCAGTATCAAACTCAGGTACAATACAATACACTGGCACTAATATTGTTGTGACGATACAGTATATAGCCATATTGAAGCAACAATGTTCAGAAAAGCTTTTAATGATGCCAATATACATGGGGTGTGTTAAAAGAGCTTGCACTTAAAGAATTTGTGAAGATGAAAGCATTTTGGAATGCAGTGAAAGAGTAGTATTACTCCTGCAGATGAATTACAGGAATGTGTATTCCTCTTCACTCACATAGATATTATCTTGCTATGTATGTGATGTATGGAATTCTATTGTCACAGTGCACAATGAATCAATGCACATTGTAAGTTATCCTATCCACCTACTTGAAAGTGCATTTCCATAAGACAATAATGTTATTTAAATACAAAAATATAGGTGACAAAATTAATAAATACTGATTTTAAACACTCTTCGAATCTGTGCATGATGTTCATATCATTGCAAAATAAATGGAAACCAGCAGCTGCTTGGAAGGCAGCAAATAAATATCCAGAAAATTGCTGGTTTAGTGTATGCAATTTGGAGTTAATGGGCTAAAACATGCAAAACCATTGGTATCGTCCTTTAATATTTTCCAGTGAATTTATCCACGCCTGCTACTCTAGATTGAAACTCCAGCTGTGTTTCTTACTTGATGTCGCTTTCCTGGACTCTCTCTTCGTCCAAGTCCTCTATGAACTTCTCTCCCTTCATCCAGTAGATGAGTGGGCTGACGTCACCGCTGTAGCCAAAAAATGCGCGGCAAGTCAGGTTCAAAGCACTTCCTGAAAAGACAGGAGATGACATGCTGTTATGCTTGATTGTCCTGCTGGCTTGTCAAGGGTGTGCATTTCACGTGCACGGCCCAAAGAATATTGTACCATAACATGTCTGCACCTTGAAAGTCAGTGTCATCAACAGAAACACACTTTTGTTGCTGACATGAGCATTCACAATTCTTCTCATGCACAAAAATCATGTCAAAAGTGGCTGAGGCTGATGAGATGGAAGACGGAATCTCCAACAAACCTTGTGGCATGTGCAGCTGTGATTAAAACAGACAGCCTTTCCTTTAACACAGAGTCAAGAAAATCTCAGGAAATGTTTTGATATGCTCATATCACCAGCACGCACATACAGTACACTGTTCTGAAAGCAAGTAAACAGTAATGAACACATGAGGGCACTCAAGAGCTTCCTAAAACCCCCCTCGAGACTGCGTGTCCATGACAGAAAAGAAGGAAAAAGGAAGTGAGAGGCTGACAGTAACATTTATTTAGAGCTGCTGCTGGATATGAAGGAAGGTCAGGAGTCAACAACTTCAGTTTGCTGAGAGTTGATATGTGGAAGAAGTAAGGAGGTGCCAGTGAGAAGCCAATAGGGTCTTTGTTCAGTAAATTGGTGGAGTATCTCTTTGGTTCAGAGAATATTTAGAAGAAAGAAAAAGGTGATAGTTCACACACCAATAAAAATCCATTTCAATGATGCTAGTGGTATTTTTGTGCAATTTAAGAAATATTTAACATTCCAAGTCATTGCTGAACTAGGGGTAAAAAGTGAAAAATGGAAACCCAAGGTTACATGTAGTGGTGCCAGGTGATAAAGAGACACATTTCTACCACTCATAGACAGACAGACAGACAGACAGATTGATGTATACTTCATTGGTCCTTCACAGGAAATTAGACAGCGACCTATCTGTAAGACTAATCAAGTACAAAATGCCTTTAATGTACATGAACTGTGTGTATTAAGTTGGTGAACATAAAGACAGAGTATTGCTGGCATCTACTATGCGCATGTTTATTTTGCATTCCTCTGAAGTGTCACTCTCAAAAGGCCTTGGGCGCAGCAATCACATGCTGCTGCCTCTCAGTGAACCACACAGCAACATGTAAACAGTCCACAGATGAAGGGAGGCTCATCATGCAGCTTATACTGTAAACTGTATGGTGGGAAACACTCCTCTTGGGAGAGCCAATGCTGTTTCTGGCTCCGGGGCATGTGATTTGGGAAGCACTGGGAGAAAGATGTTATGGGGATGGAGGTGAAGGAGACACTTTTCCCTGTTTCACAGCAGGAATTATGTGCAGGAGTGCAAGGTAAACTGTACTAGTATGGGGTATGTATTCATTAATCCTGCTTAGCATGTGACAGCACCATGGACAGCTCCCCAAAGTCTAGTGCAGGGAACAGAAGGCAATTATAGTACCTTACTACAGCCTCAAACACACATGTTTGAGTAAGGAGCTCTCTGATATAGTCAAAACAAAATGCTTCTTATCCATTGCAAGACTGTTCTGCTGGATTGCATCACATTTTGGGTTTCCACTTTTTGTGATGATCTTTGATGACTGTTTATGTTTGAACTAAGGGCATGTATCCTCTGTGGTTATCCGGCCCACAACCCAGACACAGCTTCAAAAGATTTCAGTAGGTCACTTTCTGGACAAGGAAAGTTTTAAGGCATGCAGGGAAGGAGGATGGGAAAACACCCAGGAATGAACTGATAGTACTGTCTGTCAGGAGCAGAGGCTGACATTTCCAAAGTTCAACAGCCACTCTCAGCTTGGTATTTGTGCACAGCCAGGCTCTACAAAGAATACACGCTGTACCTACAAAATAGGAACCTCCTGCGTGTGATTACACACCCACACGCACAGGTTTTGGTTCAGCAGTATTTTACTGTATAGTAACACTTAATTGTTTGTAGCAAACATGCAAAGTAACCATCCTGTGCAAATGACATACTGTACAACTGTGTATCTCTGGGTGTGAGACAAATACAGCATTTCCCTTTCCCTGTGTTTATAAATCACCCCCGTGCTGTTAGTTTATCCCACAGATCAATTGCTAACTAGGAATGTCATGCTGCCAGCAGCCGCTGCCTGGAGAGGAAGTCTCCACTGAGCTCCCTGGGAATCACGGGAAATTGTTGGAGGCCTCATGCTGTCTCATTCTAATCCAAGTGCAGCAGTCCCCCAAACTCCCTCAAAAGCTCTCACAGCCACCTTCGTTACTTCTTCCACTATTTCAACACCAGCGGGTGGTGTTATACCTGCAACATTGCATCCCATTCATGGATGCAGTATAATAGCTGGACATGGTGTTGCAAGATGGTGGCCATTCGTTCTTATGACAGTTGTTCCCCCCAGCATATACACCACAAAAGTTTTATTCTATTTCAGATTGGCCCCTACCATGTAATCTTTCTCTTGCCTTGCCTGCTGTAATACTTCACTTAGATTATGTCACACATAAAAATAGCTTTCCCAGGCTCCGGTAAAGAAAGTAGGCTATTATTTTCTATTTGGCAAAACAAAACTGGAGCTTTCAATTATATCACAAGATCTTCATCAGCAGATAGAGTTTGCCCAGATGTCATGGATTTGTAGTAGGGCTGAATGATTAATCGTTTTCATTTTGCGATTTGAAAGAACGTGATTAGCTAATCGTGAAGACAGCGATTGAAATGTAGGTTATAATTATACAGCGCATCTGACCCATTTTAATGCAGTTTCAAATTCATTTTGTTGTCATCCTTGTGTGACAGATCTGCTCGCCAATCACAAGCGCCATGCGCCTCCTGTTATGGTCCTACTCACACACAAATGTAACTAGAGGAAACGTGCGGGATAATGGCGCCAGCCAAACAGACACAAACAGCGGCTGTGACACGGTTTTGTCCGGCGTCAACTCACACCGAAGTGTTTCAGCAGCGGAGCGTTTAGCCTACATGTTGTTAACAGGTTGTTAATTTGTCATTTTGCTGACTTTTTCAGATTTTGCTTATTTGTTCAGTTGTCCTTAATTTTTGTGCTTCTACTTTGGTTAAGTGATCTACGTAGTTAAATTGTGTTTTTGTGGTCTGTTTTAACTGTGTTTATTGTTGATGTACGATCAGGAGTCTGCAAAGGGTGTTTTATTTTGAAAATCGACCAGATTCTCTATGCCGTTCAGTGTCTGACTTTCTGCCTGGTTCATCTGCTCTGTGCTACTTGATGTGGCTTCAGTGAAAATTAGACTGGCACTGAATATTGAACTTTAGCAAAACTTCAATCGAAATCTTATCGAATATCTGGCAGAAAAATTGCAATTAGATTTTTCAGCCAAATCGCTCAACACCCTTATTTGTGGATGTTCAAACTTGCATTCTCTGCACACCTTAAGGACTTTGTGTCTGTTTTGGCTTAAAAATGCAGATTGAAAGTTTATCCTTGAGAAGAATGAAAGTAAATGACGGGGAGTGGATTTCAATCTCAACTATCCAACATAGAAAAGAAGTCCTTAAAAGAGACATGATTAAAAGCTTTAGAGCAGCTACTAATGGGCCTTGTGATGAGACTGGTTTGCCAACTACTGTTTCAAAGGTAAAAAATTCACATGCAATCTCAAATATAATATATGGCTCTATTGACTATTAAGACATGCCATAGACATGTCTTTCATAATTGTTTGTCTATGGCGATTAACATTTTTTCTTGCTGAATTAAAATATCCACAGTAACATAACATCCTCTGCCTACATTAAATGTACATTCACCTCCCTGTAGAGTCCTTCCTTTATTTCCAGTGTACAGGTGAAATAACACATTTTCTCTCCAGGTGTTATATATACAGCATATGACTACAGTTGCAGTTTAAATTGGCAGTGTCAAGAGCAATTGAACTGCTGTTTGCAAGGCTGTTGAAAAAGATGTACAAATATTAGCCAGGCATAGAGAGAATACAGTTTTATAAAAGCCTGGCATGTCTATGTCATTAGCCTCTGAGCCAGCAAACTACTATGATGTCAAGCCAGTTGAAGTTTGAGCAGATGGTAGGAAGACTATTAACCAGGACTGGAACAATGAGGTGAGTAATTCGCACGCTCTCAAGTTACAGAGAAGGAGGAGCAGCTTTTTAAGTTCCTCTCCTGCTGTCAAACCCCACAGCAGTCTCATTACTATGATGATCTATTATTATTCTCAAAGCAGTTTGTAACCCTTGGTACCTCACAAGAATGGTGTCTGCGTTGACGTTAACTGATCTTGAGGGTGAATTATTACTAAGACATTATTGTTTTTAAATGGGTGAGGTAGTAATGTGCACAGACAGACCTCAGACCAGGCAGCAAACAGTAATCAGTCTTAATGATGAGAGCAGGTGTTAGTGGAGGAGTTAAGGGTCCAACCTTGACCATCTTAGGTGTTATAACAAAAGAAAAACATCACAGAAATCACATGTAATCCGTTACTCCCCAACCCAGGCAGTCAGCACCGTACTGGTCCCATTCAGTTAAGCACAACAGAACATCAAAATGTCACCCTGTTTAGTAAATAACAAAGCTACAGTCATTCAATGTGTCACCAGTGTAAATGCTAACACACACTACCTCCAGAAGTATTTTATTTTCTATGTAACTGTTTGGCTATTTTGAAGATGTTGCAGCTGTTAAACATTTTAAATATCACAATGTGATAACTGAGAAAATATATATTTTAGAGTAGAAACTAACAGTAATTTTCTCCACTGTTATTCCCCATCATTTGCCATCATGTCTCTTTGCCACTCATCGATACAAGCGCCATGGCATTGAACATAATGAGACAGAAGCTCAGTGTAGAGCCATGTTCACACACTTGTGTTGTACTATACGTTGTTGTTGGCAAAGGAGGAATGGGTAGTTCTTTCATTGCTGGTGGTTGTTTCTCAGCCATTGTGTTTGCAAAACTTCATAAGCCATGCGCTGAAAATATTGAGCTTGACTGCGTGAGATCATGCGCGAGGTAGGAGGTTGACCAAC